TTTTTTAAAAAGTGCTTTCATGGGTAGTGTTATCCAGCAGGTTTTGCTGCTGATAATTTTCAGACCTTGAAATTCCTTCTCAAAGACCCATGATAATCATCATTACACCACTTAGAAACAGAAAGCTAACAATAGACTGATTTAACATAACCAAGGCAAAAGAGGGCTGTACATTAAACAAGGAGAAGAGAGAGGAGAGGGGGAAAACATTCAGACATGTGTGAATCAGTGATTCAATTTTTCCTTATCTTGGACAAGCTCCTGCTTATTTAACTTATATGCAGAGTACATCATGAGAAACGCTGGGCTGGAAGAAGCACAAGCTGGAATAAAGATTGCCAGGGGAAATATCAATAACCTCAGATATGCAGATGACACCACCCTTATGGCAGAAAGTGAAGAAGAACTAAAGAGCCTCTTGATGAAAGTGAAAGAGGAGAGTGAAAAAGTTGGCTTAAAGCTCAACATTCAGAAAACTAAGATCATGGCATCCGGTCCCATCGCTTCACGGCAAATTGATGGGGAAACAGTGGAAACAGTGACAGACTTTATTTTGGGGGGCTCCAAAATCACTGCAGATGGTGACTGCAGTCATGAAATTAAAAGATGCTTACTCCTTGGAAGTAAAGTTATGACCAACCTAGACAGCATATTAAAAAGCAGAGACATTACTTTGTCAACAAAGGTCCATCTGGTCAAGGCTATGGTTTTTCCGGTGGTCATGTATGGATGTGAGTGTTGGACTGTGAAGAAAACTGAGCACCGAAAAATTGATGTTTTTGAACTGTGGTGTTGGAGAAGACTCTTGAGAGTCCCTTGGACTGCAAGGAGATCCAACCAGTCCATCCTAAAGGAGATCAGTCCTGGGTGTTCATTGGAAGGACTGATGCTGAAGCTGAAACTCCAATACTTTGGCCACCTCATGCGAAGAGTTGACTCATTGGAAAAGACCCTGATGCTGGGAGGGATTGGGGGCAGGAGGAGAAGGGGACGACAGAGGATGAGATGGCTGGATGGCATCACCTACTCAATGGACATGGGTTTGGGTAAACTCCGGGAGTTGGTGATGGACAGGGAGGCCTGGCGTGCTGGTTCATGGGGTCGCAAAGAGTTGGACACGACTGAGTGACTGAACTGAACTGAAGCAGAGTAGGTTAAATTCCTCACTACAGACAGTCTCAAACTTAGGACGGTTCAACACAGTTTTTTCGAACTTTCGGATGGTGTGAAAGTGACGCTCGTCCAGTGGAAATTGTACTGTGCATTTTGTCTTTGGACCTTTTCCTGGCTCAGTGATGTGGGGCAGACATGCTCTCCACGTGAACAGCAATGACAACCGCTGCCAGTCAGTCACCTGGTCATGGAGGTAGACCACTGATACACTCACAATCACGCTAAAATACTGAAATGTTTCGACTCACTTCACCAGATCTGATTCTGATTGCTTAGCTATTTTAGATCACTTACATGAAGTTCCAGTACTTTGGCCACCTGATGCAAAGAGCTGCCATGTTCATTGCAAAAGACCCTGATGCTGGGAAAGACTGAAGGCAAAAGGAGAAGGGGGTGACAGAGGATGAGATGGTTGGATGGCATCACCGACTTGATGGACATGGGTTTGGGTGGACTCTGGGAGATGACATGACTGAGCCAGACACGACTGAGCAACTGAAAAACAATAAATGTAACATATGTTAATGTTATTGTCTGGGGTACAAAAAGGCTAAAGGAACCTGAATGTGTTAAACTGGAGGGAAAACATCATTACATCTCAAATTAATGACCAATGTGATTTCTTTAAAAGATATTGTACTGAGTATTTTGATAATTCATGATGAATTAAATATATAACCTTTTGCAGACACATTACTTTTGGTGTCAGATACTTAAAAACAAACTATCTGTAACATATATCCTTATTATATCAATCCTATATATTCATCTGCCTTACATGGAAACTGTTGTGTGAAAGAATCTCAGTATGTATTTCATAATGAATGGCTTATACTGAATTAAATACATCCACTGACACAGCAGAAATCACTGCATTAAATTACATTCTCAAGTTCAAAAGGACAGATTTTCCCTCTCCCAACCAACAAATGTGTGTGTATATATAAACAGAAATAAATCATATTTTAAAATCTGTGACTTTAATAAGATTAAACAGTTAAACAAGTACAAACATTGATATTTTAAAATATATAAATTTTACATAATTATTTATAATAAAGATTGAAAAAATAGAGCTAAAATTTTCTTTGCATTTTCTTCCAATTTACACAGGTAAACAATTGTACAGTTCTTTCCATATGTAAAGAATTTCCTACAATTAAGAAAATCCAAATGTTAAATTTTAAGACATATATTCAGTTATATACAAAAAAAATCACCAAATTACAAACTTAAAAATCATTATAAATTGTGAAAAATACATATTATAAAAAATTATGTTCTGAAAGTAGCATAATACCAATTCATATAACCTAGGTAACTCCAAAAGAATAAACAATGTTCAAAAATTATAGTAGTGTCTATATTGCCCTAGCATAAGAGGAGGTATTCTTTGTAAATATGTATGTTATAAATGAGTCTGACTTCTTTCAAGTGCCAAAATTATTTTCACTTTAATCACTTTCATTACAAATTTTGTAAAAATGTTTATCATCTACTAAAATTGAGTATGCTGAACACAGTGAAACCCTTGATAACTAAAAATCATTGTGAATGCCAATCATTTAGTGACTTATTCATTCAACTATTCCTGAGTGGCGTGATTTTTTCTCTTTTCTCTCAAGTGGCTTTAGACTAATATGTTTTATAGTTTTTGTTTCCACTCTATAAATGAGTTCTTGAGGATTTGCCATTATTTTACGTCTATAAAATGCTTCCACTCAACTGCCAGCTTCCACATATAGGATTGCTGTTGTTTAGTCGCTAAGTCGTGCCCGACTCTTTTGCAACACCCTAGACCGTAGCCCACCAGGCTCCTCTGCCCATGGGATTTTCCAGGCAAGCATATTGGAGTGGGCTGCCATTTCCTTCTCCAGGGGAGCTGCTCAACCCAGGGATCGAACCCAGGTCTTCTCCATTGGCAGGCAGATTCGTTACCACTCAGCCGCTGTGGAAGCCCCACACACAGGATGTAGAAAGCCTAAACTCTCCCTTGAGCCTTGGCTCTGAGAAGCATTTAAAAAGTGTCTGAGTGGGGCTGCCCTGGTGATCCCTGGTCCGGGAAGACCCTACATGCCACGGAGCAACGAAGCCCGTCTACCACAACTGTTGAGCCTCTGCTCCAGAGCCCGGATCTGCAGCATTTAAGTGCACGCAGGAGGCCATGCTCTGCAGGAAGAGAAGCCACGCCAAAGAGAAGCCTGAGTCCTGCCGCTGGAGAGTGGGCCCTGCCCCCAGCAATGAGGGAGAAGCCTGAGCAGCAGCGAAGACCCACACAGCCAAAATAAAAATAAGAAAGTAACCTAAAATGTGTCTGGCTGGGCAGGAGGCACACTACTTCTGAACTAGGAGTATCACATGTTTGTTCCCCTGTCTACCTTGAACTGTCTCTTTGGTTGTTATGCATTTCCTGCTTCTCAAGCACCTGGGTTTTTGGCCACCCATTCTGGCTTCAGCCTTTGGTGCTTACGTGTTCCTAGTTTAAGTAGATCTGTCTCTCTGATGGGTGATCCACTGCTCCTCCAATTCCCTAATATTCATGTGTGCTTGCTTGCCTCACGTCAAATTCATTCCTCCCTGCATCTCAATCTATAAAGCTACTCAATTCTTGAATCGCCTATGGCCACCAATTACCACAAAATATAATTCTTCAAAACTCTGAATTACTAGTGCTTCTGATCCTGCTCTCCTATCAGGCCTTTACCCATTTCGTTACTCAATAAAACACTAATTGTAAACAGCTAACCTAGGAAAAAGCTGATAATGAGTCTCATTAAACCAGTAACCTTATTTTATGAAATTTCAAATGGGTATGAACTGCAACAATTTTCTTAATCAGTACAGCTCTTGACCAGGTAGAAGTTATTTTTATTGATGTTTACTGGTGTATGTCCTCCACAATTCTGAGTACACAAAGTTGGCCAAAGTCTGAGCTGAAAAAATGAAATTATAATGCTATATATGTGAAATAGTTAATCTTTAAATAAACGGATCAGTTAAAAGTAGAGTTTAATGTTTTAACCAAACAATAATACATGCCTACAATAAGCAAAGCGCTGCTTATGTGCTATAATGTACTAGGTGATCCGTTTTTCAAACAACAAAAGTTGAGCTACTGAGTATATAAACACTGATCATAGTTCATGAAAAAAGCTTTTCAAAGAAAATCAATAAAATGGACATAAGCCATTTTTTTTAAAAAAGAAATCTTTTCCTATCTAATTGGCACTTTACTGAAGCTGGCACCTTCCTCTGGAAGACATGGAACTGAATAATACTATCAGAGAATAATGCTAAAAATCAGCAATATCAACAAATCACTTCCTGGAATTCTTGAGTTAAAGTGAAGATATGTGTATAGAATGCCAATATTTCTGAATGCACTGTGTACTGGGACACAAAAAAAGATAATTAACCGACATTCTAACAGTTCACTAATTGTCTATAATAAATCAAGGACAGACTAGTACATATACATTTAAAAATAATATTATTTAGATAGTTTTAAATTCATGTTCTTTCAATAACAGTTCTTGAAACTTAGAACTTAAACTAGATATATTTGAATTTTTACACCATGAATTTTCTTAAAAAGGCCAAACTACTGACAATGATAATTAAAATAAAACAAGTTGTAAGAGGGATAGAAATATCACTTTGGTTTTAAAATATAAACTGTTAACTAAACACTGGCTTTTTCTTTCTAGTACTGTTTATTAGCTGGGGATTTCATCTATATATGTGTGTGTGTCTGTTTTGAGGCTTTTGATGAGCTTTGAAGGCACAGGTCTGTTTCTTATATTAAAACAAAAACAATTAACAGTCCATACATACACAGGAAACACATTTAATTATAAAAAAAAAATTTCTAAAATATGATTGTCCATATTGGATAGTTAATGCTGCAGTGATATGCACTCTTACAAACGCAGGCCAATTTTCAATCTTTTCTTTTGCAGTTTCATCCGTCATTCCCTGCTTTGCTGAGATCACTTTCTAATGAAACCGTAGTCACAGCTGCATTCTGATTTTGAAATGCTACATCTGTGACTGATGGTGGAGGTTTATACAAAAAGACTGCAAGTCCAATGAAGAAAACAGTGATAATTTTACAAATAACACCTAAATAGAAAAACAAAAATTAATCATGGATTTTAGGCTTTAATTATTACAAAAATTGATCCTCATTGAAAATTCTTCATGAATAGAATCTCACTACATAAAGAAACTTTCACTTTTGTGTAAAGAAAAGGAGTATACAGGCAATTAGTTTTACGTTTTTAATTTTTAAAACTTTAGTAAAAAAGGTGATAGTTTTCAATAGAACATTGTCTACAAATCAAAGAATGAGTCTTATTTTTTCTAAACAATGAAAATATATATAATAACTATTCTATTTTTGGCTATGATTGTACATTCTTCTGGAGAAGGGCATGGCACCCCATCCTACTATTCTTGTCTGCAGAATCCCATGGACAGAGGAACCTGGTGGGCTACAGTCCATGGGGTTGCAAAGAGTCAGACACAACTGAAGCAACTCAGCATAACATAGCATACATAGCATGTACATTCTTAACCAAGGAAAGATATTGATAGCTTACAATATCATTGAACGTGAATAATCAGTTGCAAAATTTTCATGTCCATGATGAAAAGTAATTCTAAAATTAAAAAAAGCTTCAGAGTTCTTAGGAGAAAGTCTCTTTGGCAATATATAATATTCAATACTTAAAATTTACCTTTAAGCATCAACTAAAAATACAAAACATTTAGATTCACATCACAGGCTTCAATTTATTTTCAAAGAACTCTGAGAGTTCTTTGAAAGAATATCATCTTTCTTACCAAAGTTTTAAAAATTTAAAAAGAGACTCTTTCTCTTTAAAGAAACTAGTTCTGGTCATAGTACATCTAAGTGCTAACTAAATATATTAAATAACCTCACATTGTAGTTTTTGCAGTAGCTAATTTGTATTAATCATTAATATCTGACTTAAACTGGGTATTTGAGAAACAGAAATACTCATTGAGCTAAGCATTTCTAGATTTAGACTAATTATAGGTACTATTATTATATTTTTGGAATATTTAAAGGTACATATGTTTCTGGTGGAGGAATTCTCATATTTATCACGGAGTAGGTAAAAGAAAAATTATCTACATTTTTGGTCAAAAAGTATAAACATAACCAATTAAATAAATTTTTAAACATAAAAATACACTGAATAAAAAAAATGTTTCTTAACAGGTAAAAGTTATAGGAAGATTACTTTTGCCTATTTTAGTCAGTATTTACCATCTCATTGTTTTCCTAGATTTATGTATTTATTTCTTCAGTGGATAATTTATTATTCTGTCATTATAAATTCAGACAGCATACTCTGAATTTAAACACATGTAGGAGAAATAAGGGGCTTCCCTGGTAGCTCAGTTGGTAAAGAATCCACCTGCAATGCAGGAGACCCTGGCTCAATTCCTGGGCAGGGAAGTTCCCCTGGAGAATGGACAGGCTACCCATTCCAGTATTCATGGATTTCCCTGGTGGCTCAGACAGTAAACAATCTGCCTACAATGCAGGAGACCTGGGTTCAATCCCCGGGTTGGGAAAAATCCCCTTGAGGAGAGCATGGCAACCCACTCCAGTATTCTTGCCTTGAGAATCCCCATGGACAGAAGAGCCTGGTGGGCTACAGTCCACGGGGTTGCAAAGAGTCGGACACGACCAAGCAACTAAGCACAATTTCTTAGGTTGTTTCTCAAATTTTCTAATTTTATCATACTCTTTCAAATTAGATGCACTGCTCTAGTTCCTTAATCTTAATTTCCATTGAATGCTTAACCAAGACTACAGAAGACACACTACTGAAGGCAAAATGGGTTAAACATCATGGCTAACGTGTTATATCATAAAAAGGTCTCTTACAAAGTACCTAGGAGCCAGGAATACATTCTGACCTAGGCTCTATGTGCTCTCCAAAGCGCAGGTGCTTAAAAGACAGTCATTCCAGTTTCTCAGAATTCTCTTTTAGCCTTTTGTTATACTTTCCAAAAAAATTTGAGAAAAATTGTTCAAAGAAAATTATATAATATGTGATGCAATGACAGCTAAAATGTTACTCCCTTCTATCTTGGACTGTGCCTCACACACTCTAGGTATGGCCTTTTAAAACATGCTTTGATAACTGATTTCTGCTTCAGGACTAAAGGACAGTCCAACTGCATGGACCAAACATGTCAAAACCTAAGTAAGTAACAATAAGATATTTTTCCTCTTGTCATAATCCATTTACTGTAAAGTTATCAAGGCACCACTTACTTATGGCCACTAGCATATAGGCCATCTTGACGTTATTATAGACCCAGCAAGCTCCTTTATTTCCACATTCGTTAATATCCCAGAGAATACATGTGCTGTCTATTGTACTGCCAAATATAATAGGTCCAGGTATGGTGCCTAAAAGAAATCACATGTAAAATACATTAAAGTTTACAGTAACAGGGTTTTTTACATATATATTTTACATAAATGGGAAATAGGTATTGATCTGTCTATCCTACAAATCAATCAGTTCATGTACAAGTGATAAGAATATAAAGAAACAGATAAAACATTCTAAAATAATTGTACATAATTATTATATATTTCTAGTCAATTCAAAAATTTATTTTAATAAACATCTTATAAATGTATTAGTAATGTATTTGATTAATATTTACTTAAGGAAATATTTTTGTTCACTGCTTTTCTAATTTAATAAATGTCTTTGAAATTACCTATTATATTTTTAAAAAATCAAAATAAATATCTGATGCATGGAATAAGTCTCCTAAACTTCAGCATATGTATAATGTGTGCATGTGCACGTAAACTAATATGGGTGAGAGTATACACATATATACTGTATATACATGCATACATGGGAGTGTACATGCACACACACATTCACACTAACATGCTGCGTTCACCATTAACTGTACAACTACGGGCAAACCCCTGAATCTCTCAGGTCCTTAATTTATTCATCTAAAAAACGGGAAAATCAGTCTAGGGGATCTCTACCATTCCCTGCTTTTGGTTTTCATTTTTATAAACAATTGTAATAATATGTGTATAATATATTTAAAATTATACACACAAATAATTATGTGTAAGACATGTTTCTGTCTTATTATTCTTCCTATATCTGGAATCTTAAATTTTGGGGGCCTTAAGTTATTTCTTCCATCAATTTTTAACTAGACACAATATATACAGTAGTTTTTTACTGAAACATACAAAGTCATTATTTTTCACTGCTAATGCAAGAAGATTATGTCCCAAATAGAGTTAAATGCAGGGAGAAAAAGGAATTACAATGGTTATAAATAAGATTTTATCATAATTTATGTTGGTAGTAGGTTTTATATGAATAAACAAAAAATTTGTCTTTTACTATGCTCTATTAGAAATGTGCTGGTGATCATATGTCATATCTTAAATAAATATAATATACTCTTTAGGGTTATACTTGTGACAGAATTGGAAACCACAGATAATCAGATAGGTAAAAAGTAAAGTCCATATCTTTCTATATGATCTATATATACTACATCTTGAATAATGGAAGATAGTTTTCTTCAATGACAGTTACATAGTTGTCCACTGCAAATAAACTAATTGCTTTCTTAGCACATATTGTAAGTAAATAAATCAATAACAGTAAGGAATAAAAATAGTCAGCAGTTACCAATGCACTTAGAAAAATGACATACCTAATAATCGAAGCAACGTACACTGTATTCCCAATGCTAGAGATCGCTGCCTTTGATTAACACACCTGGAGATATTTAATGCATAGGAGACAAAAAATAGTTGTACAGTATATTTACTCTTTGAGAAAATTCATTTTTATATGAGCTCAGCATTTCTAGATTAAACACTATACGCAGGAAGTAAACAATTATTTATAACAGCTTGTATACAGTTCAACCTTTCTGGAACTGTAAGAGAAGAAAAATTTTATCCAAACTAAAACAGTACAAATAATACCAAAGAGAGTTAAATGAGTTTTAACAAATATACAGAATATGTAGGAATAACACCAAACATAAAGGAGAAAGGACATTCATTAACCAGACTATTTATTCTTGACTATTTGACTATTCTTTGAGTTACAAGTCACACGACTTAAGTTGCAAGCAAATAACTCTTCCTCTCTTACTAACTTTGAGACAAAAATTACACCTGTGAGTTACAGTTACAAATTAGAGTCAGTGTAAAACAGTTTCTGATATTTGATTTGATTCCACAATAAATCTTTTCAGTAATAACTCTCAAATATGGATGAGACATGATGTTTGCACACAAGAGAGTTAGATACGAGATAAAGGAGATCAAGCAGTCTTTAAAAAGCAAATATGTAGATAAAAAGTGATGTAGATAAAATAGGTGTAATATTAAAACACTACTTAATGCTTTTAGACAAATCTCTAAAGTTTCCATTTGTCAAAAAGTATGTGAAAAGGTAGTGACTGAGTATCAAGAAACAAAGACTGAAGAGGTAAAAAATCTAGTTTGTTAGGAAATACAACAGAAAGGCTGATGAGCTTATAAAATGGCAAACAGGAAATAAAAATAATCGGAAATATCTTTATAGCTCAGATGATAAAGAATCCACGTCCCAATGCAGGAGACCTGGGTTCGATCCCTGGGTTGGGAAGATCCCCTGAAGAAGGGAAAGGCTGCCCACTCCAGTATTCTTGCCTGGAAAATCCCATGGACAGAGGAGCCTGGGGGGCTACAGTCGGTGGGGTCGCAAAGAGGAGGTTCAAGACAGCGGGGATATATGTACACCTATGGCTGATTCATGTTGATGTTTGACAGAAAACAACAAAACTCTGTAAGGCAATCATCCTTCAATTAAAAAAAGTAAATTAATTTTAAAAAAAAGTCAGATACAACTGAATGACTCACACACACACACACATGAAGAATGAAGAGGCAATGAAACTATGAAATACTGTGAAGAGCCCGGTGACAGGCAGCATTTTTACTGTTTATAGGAAGGCTTACTATAACAGCACCTACTGTATAAGGCAGAATGCCCGTCATTCTGATTCTGACATGTAGAATGTATTCCCATTTCCATCATACTCGAATACAACTGATCATAACCCCAACTTACAACTGAAGCCTCATTACAGGAGCAGAAAAAATAGCATTGAACAGATGTCAAGTAGGTAATGTTAAGGCACTTTCGCAACCATAATCTCATTAAAGCCTCAAACATTTCTGGTTCAACGAGGTAGCTCTTCCAATGCCACAGAACTAATGATCTAGTAAGGGCTGAATTAGTACTGGAACCAACAGTCAATATAAACCCCAAATGCATCCCTGAGTCCAGTTTCTTTTTCATTCAACATGTTGCCTTAGGGATGGCAAATTTCACAATGAATCACATACCTTAGGATGGCCACGGTTACAGGAGTACCAGCCATGAAGGTAAAAACAACTGCAGCAAAGAAAATGCCAAGGAACAGGGGCAGGTTTTTACAATGACTTGAGCACTTTCCAGCTTGAGCTTCAAGACTAACACTTGATGGAGTAGGCGTTACATCAATTTCCCCTTCAATACAGGAACAGTTATAATATACCTAGAAATATCAGACATAAACATATGGAAAGTGCTTATCTCAAAAACATTTTATCATCGCAAATTAAGTGATTTCTAGACATGGCAAACACTCTTACAGAATCTTAATTCATACACAACAAATAGTGATGAGAAACAGTAATAACCCTTAAGAAATTAAGCAAGTGAAATCAAGGGGCCATATTTACAAAGTAGAATGCTCTGTATTTGACTTTAGTGTCTATGATTTTAACTTGTAACCTGTTACTGATTCATGTCTTATAAGACAAACTGACAAGAATATAACTATTAGATGATCTAGGGGGCTTCCCTGGTGGCTCAGATGGTAGAGAATCTGCCTGCAATGCTGGAGACCCAAATTCAATCCCTGGGTCAGGAAGATCCTCTGGAGAGGGAATGGCAACCCACTCCAGTATCCTTCCCTGGAGAATCCCAGGGACAGAGGAGCCTGGTGGGCTACAGACCATGGGGTCACAAAGAGTCAGACACGATGGAGTGCTCACTCTCACAGACACACACTTTCTAGACTGCTTTCAATAGGCCAATCGCTCAGTTTTCCTGCTAATTTTCTTCTTTTCCATTATTATGATACAAAGAAAAGCATGCATTGTGACAATCTCACTATCTATGCTAGCTTGAAAGAATGAACACTTAATATAATTTTAACCATTGCCACAGTAAAATTAAATAATACATTACAAGAGCTTGGGAAAAAATATTACTGCTTTCAACTGAACTTTTTACTGTAATTTTCTGAATTATCTTACCAAAAACAAACTGTATCCCTCTTAAGATGACATATTTACCACAAACAAAAACCAGAAGTTATTACATTATCCTAAATGCTATTTTATATATAACAAATTAACTATTTAATATATGTATACACATATATATGTATGTATACATATAATAGCATGATATGTTGGAAAGTAACATGTTTTAAAAATCAAAATATTACCTTTGTAGGAAAATAATTCAGGTATATGAAAAGTGAGGCATAATCATTTTGCAAAGGCTTTTTACATCTCAACTATATCCTCACTACAAATCTTTGTATATGTTTAAGGCCACAATAAAGTCAACAGAGCTAGAGAAGTCAAAGTCAATCAGGTCTTTTATTGCTCCAAAGGCCAGAAACCACTGGTACTGACTCAGGAAATCCAGATATGGAGGTGACATTCCTAAAATGACTTTATGGACTCAGCAACCAGATACACCAAATAATGAAATAATGGAGCCTTTAGAAATATTAAGAAGAAAAACTGAAAACAGTATTTTCTATCTTAATGAAATCTTACAACTCTCTTACATAAAAAAATATACAGTTCCTATAATATAGCTAACTATTAGTCAACATCTGTTTCTGTAGTTTAGACCAGTGGTATGAAATATATTCTATTTCTGTGAAAAAACATGTACAGTTCTTTATTACATTATTATCAATGCATTTTTGCCTATCTAAAATATTTCATTTAAAAAATTCAGTGAAAAAATGAGTTGTTACATGGATTAGCTGGGCATAAAAAAGCCAGGACAAATAGAAAATTTGGAAGTCAAACTAACTTGCTTTTCTAAAACAATCCCTAGAAGACAATTTACTGTTTAAAATGGTAATGATAAATTTTGGTGACAAATACAAATATTGACTTAACCACGTCAAAATGACCAATACCATTTCAGGTGTGCTCTGGGTATTAGAATTTTTTACTTATTTACTTATTTATTTATTCATTTATTTTGGTTTCTTTGTGCAGGATGTTATTTCTTTCTATACATTTTGATAGGTGGATAAAACCCTTCCAACAATTTAATTCCTTGTCATAATCTTCTAACTGAAGTTAATCAGTAGCACTTACTGATATTCTTTTGATGATATTTAATATACAGGAAAAAGCTACCTACTTATCTGCTTCTCAAAGGAATAGTTTACCTTCTAGATAGTTCTGAATCTATGATATGTACCATGCTCCCTTGTGGAATTTGATCCCTTATAACTGACACAAATACCTAATTTTTTCAACCTGTTTTGAAACTAAAGCCTCCCCAGATGTCCACAGATTTGAAGATCTGACAACCCTCAGTTTTAGGGCTTTAAAAATCTTCCTGATGTCTTTCCTAAGTCTTTATAGTAACTTTATGGTAGTGATCTAATTAATTAGTTTTATTCCAAGGATTAAAACTGCACATGTCAATCAAGTCTATTAAATCTGCTATGATTTATCACATTTTTTTCTGCCACATTTTCAATATTCTTACACAACTATTTTTAAATCTAGTAAGCAAAATTTAAACTACTTTTAAATCTAGTAAGCTCCAGGAGTTGGTGATGGACAGGGAAGCCTGGCATGCTGCAGTTCATGGGGCTGCAAAGAGTCGGACACGACTCAGTGACTGAACTGAACTGAACTGAAGCTAGATAATACGAAAAAAAAATGTTCACTCTTTCCCACATTCTGGTTGACCCCCAGCAGAAAAATGAAATCCTACATCTCTGCTGAGATAAATGTTCAATGTATTTATCACACACGAAATCCTTAGGTATGTATACATATGCAAGACATTTATGTGTGTGTATACATGAACATATAAATATGTATAACCACAGCCACACAGATATCCATGTTAGTTCTAAAAGAAATATGAAGCAATTTTGTGATCTTAAACTTATTTTTATGTAGGAAAAAAAAGAATGCCGTATCACCAATCCATATTTCAAATAACCAAGACTGTGCTGTTTTGTCATATAATTCTTATGTATCTTATTCATTGTAGTCTTTTATATATTTCCCTCAGATCTTTTCAAAGTTATCACATTATCTGTTAATATATAACATAACCTATTATGTACTACTACTAATATGAATATTATTTTTCCCAAGGCTTTCAAATTGAATGAAGATAAAATTTTTAGATTGCAGATATAGTACAACAAAATTCTATGGGATTTTTTTAAAACTATTTAATTTAATTTAAAAGAAATCATATTTAGGTAAGTTAATATGCACTCTAATCCAGTACTAAAAGTAACTTTGCACTAGAGAATGGGTTAGTGATTTGTATTTTTTAATGTGTCCATCATTTAGCAAGTAAAGGCAACCAATATTTATTCAGTTTTTATTATATACAATGTACTTAGTAAGAGTAAGAGAAGTTTCCTGACTTCAAGGGACATACAGTATAGTTGAAAAAAATAAAACAAAGTAAAAAGCTAAATAATATTACAGAAGTGATGTTTAAAGATACATTCGAGGACCTGCCATGACGGTAATTGAATCTGAGGCATAAAAAGCAGGACCGTCTGGGGCATCTTTTAAAAATTACGGCAAGAACAGCAATGAACTGTAAGCGTGTAAGGCATTACTGCTGAGTGCAGGCGCAACGCCGCACAGCAGAGCTCTGGAGCTGACTCATGGCACTTGACTGAAGCTTTATGCCTGGCTTCTGAGTGCAGGAGTCGGGCCCGGGAGAAGAGACTAGGCGCAGCGTAACCCCACTAGAGGAATACAGAAGGGCACCCAGAAGCACACAACCATACGGCCTCTTATGGCAGTAAAGGAGCAAGCACAGGTTACCTTCGGGTGTCTTTTGGAAACGGATTGTGCACAACCTGCAAAGCAGGGAGAAAAATACTGGACTCCATCTCCTCCACAGACAGGATAGTAATACGATCGCAGGCAGTTACAATCGGCATTACAAGGAGCGGTCAAGTTTCCCAGTTCCCCTGTCCTGTCAACAAGAAATAAAAGATGAATAAATTATCTACGTTATAACTTTTAATGAACAGATCAAAAGCATTGCTATATCTTGCCATTCAGTCATTTATTCACTCACTTAATGCTTATTTAATTAGTGAACAAATAAACAGAATGTCTGCCTTTTCACATAGAGCTTAACTTCATGTGGAAGAGACAGGCAGTAGAAACAACAGCTATATAATAGAATGTCAATGTTTTAAAAAAACATAGGCAGAGTAAGCAAATAAAGCGGTTTTCTAATTTCTCAGAGATAATTTTTTTTTTGGTGGGGGTTGGGGAGGGCTGGTTCTGGGGATTGTAAGATATTCAGCAGCATCCCTGACCTCTACCCACTGGATGTCAGTAGCATCCCCGTAGCTATGACAACCAAAATGTCTCCAGACACTACCGTATTTCCCTAAAGTGAACGACAATGAAGTCGCCTGGTCACGTTCAACTCTCCGTGACCCCACAGACTGTAGCCTGCCACACTCCTCTGTCCATGGAATTTTCCAGGCAAGAATATTGGAATGGGTTGCCATTTCCTTCTCCAGGATATTTCCCTAGGGTGTGGTTAAAATGTTAAACCTAGAAGGATGAATACAATTATAATGTTCACCATACTCACTTTATCAATGGGAAAACTGAGGCCTAGAGAAATTAATTTACTTAACTTTCTTTGCCATCTAATACTCCTGGTTCCCAGACTCACTGTTATTCCATCCTGCCTCTTGAGAGGAGGCAACCTCTTTTAAAATATAAAGGGTTACTCTCGGCAAAGATGGGCTTCCATGTGGCACAGCGATAAAGAATCCATCTGCAATGCAGGAGACACAAGAGACTACAGGTTTGATCCCTGGGTCGGGAAGATCCCCTGGAGTAGGAAATGGCAACCCACTCCAGTATTCTTGCCTGTGAAATTCCATGGACAGAGGAGCCTGGTGGGCTACAATCTGCAGGGTTGCTAAGAGTTGGACATGACTGAGCACACATGCATAGACAAAGATATTTCTCTAATCCCTTATCTATTTATTCATTCAATGAACATATATTGAGCAAGTGCAAGCCGCTATCCTAGGAACTGGGACTACAGAGCTGATAAGGTGGTTGTCATCCTCAAAGATTTCCTAGTTCAGGAGAAGAGATGGACCAAATTCATACAATAATATGGTTATAGACTGTGGTTATAGATATCAACAAGATGCATTTTAGATACCTGCACCGAGGAATGATGCTTAAAACAAGCCACAGTTTAGGCAAGAGGGCTGAAGGGCTGCTCCTCGAGTCTTAAACAATGAGTCAGTTAGCTGGGTAAATGGGGAAGGAGAGAGGTACTTCAGAGAAGCTGATAAAAGGCATAAAGATGGGAAATAGCATTCTACATTCTATACAGAGAAATACGAATGACATCTGAGGCAGAGAGTGATAGGAGATCCAGTTGGAAAATAGTCATGGATCAGATTACCGAGCACCTCATGAGGCTTGTTGAAAACAAAGGGCTTTAATTTATTTTGAAAAGGTAATCAACTATTTTAGATGGAAAAATATTGCTAAAAGTACATTTTAAAGAAATAACCCTAGAAGTTATACAAAGTTTTCAATTACAATATCCCAGGCAATAAGTTATGACAATGTGTAGTAGAACTAAAATAGAATACTATGAAAGAAAACAGATTTGAGAAATATTTTGGATGTAGAATCAGTAATATTCAGTGTTTAGCTGACTGGAGATAGGAACTGAACGGAAGGGTCAAGAATGACTCCTGGTATCTAACCTGGCATTTTGGCAGAAAAGAACTAGTTTTGGGGAAAAGACGATGGGTGTGGTTTTATAAATGCATATTGAGATTAAGAGTCTCAAATTCAATGAAGAAATTTGGTCTGGAGCCAGGTATCTTAATATCCATTTGCATATGGATGTAACTGAAACTACGAGAATGATAAGATCAACCGTGTAAAGGTGGTAAGAATACAGAGGTCCTGGGAGTTCATGTATTTCATGAATACATAATGAGCTCCAATTATGTGCGAGACTTGAAGTGGTGGATATAGATCCAAAATAAATAAAGAGACAGAAATTAAGATAGAGAAAGAGAGAAAGGAAGGAAGGAAAAAGAATGGAAGTCAGGGTAGAATAAAATTTCCTACAACCATGAAGCAAAGTTTCTTGTACTGGGGATGAAAGACATAAATGAGTGATTTATCAATTAGAAGATAGTAACTGCTATACTGCAAAAAGGTGACACTTAAAGAGTAGGTAGAAAACAAGTTCATACAGGAAACAGATTAAAGAGAAGGATATAAAGCAAACAGGAAGATAATCAGTGGGGAATTTAAGGGAAAGGGTGAGCAAAGAGTCAATTTTAAGTAATTCGTCCCCTGCTTGGAGCCTCTCCTTCTTCAAGTCCATTCCACCAGCTGCTGCTAGAACTCCTCATCAAGCACGCTTCCACTCATGAGGTCGAGCATTACAGTCTCTGCTCTCATCTAGTTTATACTATGCATGCAGAAATGAGGTGGCAGAAAAACCATTTCTGCAACTCTAGAAATAGTCTCTGCACAGTAACTTTGAAACTAAAATATTTTTATAATTCCCATATTATTGATAAATGATTACTAAGAACACCAGAGTTTAAGACAGTCATGTAAACTACCATAGAAACAAAGAAATATAGAATGCATTCCTTATTATCAAGAATTAGTCACTGTAGCCTATATATTTGTAAAGGTTTATTTCATGAAGTAACGGGGGAACTATTATCAGGAAAATAGCCAAAGTTTGTTAAGTTTATGGATTTTTTTTAATTTTTGAAATATATAAAATATTTTATTTTAAAAAATTGAATATTTTAAAATATTTTTAATTTATTGAATATACACAAAATATATTTTAAGTATTTTAAAAATACACGTGTGTTTATACATACATATATGTAGATATAAGAAACATGTTTAATCACAAATAGCTGAATTTAATCATTAATGCTTTATTTGAATCCAAGCTATTATTCTATAAATATGCTTCTACAAAAAGCAAAGATTTCCCTAAATCTATTGCAACTCCTTGATAGATATGCCTCTTAAAGGTGCTGTTTCAGATAAGCAATGAAGTTACAGCTTTAGGCCATAGAGGGAAAAAATATTGTATGTACTTACTAAGTATAAAGTAAAATGCAAATCACCATAACCAATACTGATTACCAAAACAGACCCAAAGATCTTACAGATAGATTACCAAGGTGATACAGGACAGTGGCAAATTTTAATAACTACTAGAGTTCTGGAAATATTCTCTGACAATCTCCTTTCAACTGAATTCAGTGTTGTACTCGTCTGTACTCAGTCGTATCTGACTCTTTGAGATCCCAAGAACTGCAGCCCGCCAGACTCCTGTGTCCATGGAATTTTCCAGGCAAGAAAACTACAGTGGGTTGCCCTTTCCTCCTCCAGGGGATCTTCCTGACCCGGGGATCAAACCTGCATCTCTTGTGTCTCCTGCCCTGGCAGGAGTATTCTTTATCACTGCACCACCTTGAAAGCCCAGTGTTGTGCTCATATCAAACATTTAATCACACGTTTATCTGAAATACTGTGAATATTAAAAACACCCCCTGAAATAATCAGTATTACTGATCTTAAGATTTGGATACACTGTTATATAGGACTCTGAATGAACCTAACAGTAAGCCTAATTCATTACTTCAGAGTTACAAAAGCTTTTTAATCACCTATGGCCCCACAGCAAAGGGCAAAGATTCTTGGTATCACTCGACTAGAAATCCTGCATCTTGACAACCTCTCTTTCTCCCACTCACTAAGGAGGTATTTCTTGAGCTTCCAAGTCTGTTCTACCCATATACTTTTTCTTATGAGTGAGTTTCTTGCATAAGGTCATTATGACTAAGTTGTCCATGATATGGACATTTTAATATGCAGGGAACAGAGGTAAGTTAAGAATGTAGGGCCACAGAGAAAAATGACCTGATGATGTCACACCTCTGTTGTGGCCTGGCTTTATTTCTATATTAGTACAATCTATACACACATTCACACACATCCCATGTGTGTTAATGTATGTGTGGATGTGTGTATGGGTTTCCCCAGGTGGCTCAGTGGTAAAGAACTCACCTGCCAATGCAGGAGATGCAAGAGACATGGGTTCTATCCCTGGGTTGCGAAGATCTCCAGGAGTAGGAAATGACAACCCACTCCAGTACTCTTGCCTGGAAAATTCCCACGGACAGAGGAGCCTGGTGGGCTACCATCCCTGGGGTCACAAAGAGTCAGACATGGCTAAGCACACATACACATGTGTGTATACTCACTTTTAGTCTTTTCATCACTAAGAATGTGTATGTAATTAAGCATGATCTCTATGTCCCAGATCTTGATATCTCTCCATAACCAGTCCCCAGAGACACCTCAAACTGACACCAATTCACTGGCCCTCCCTTCTGAGTATGCTAAGGACAACTCACTGAGTAGTGACTCTTGTCTAAGGTAGAAAACATCAGATGGACTCACACCCACGTCATTTGTTTGCCAAGGTGATAGAGGAGTAAGTTTCTGTACTTCTCAAAGGAACTTACAAAAAACTGTGGTTTCTTGGAGCACATCTGGGTGAAGTTTATGGGTGTCAATCACGTCTGTACAACTTAACCTCTATCTACCTTTCAACCTTTCCGGGTATTTCCCTCCTATTTCCTAAGTCCCATTCAAACTGGTACCTGAACCTAGCCTTCACTTTCTAGCATTTATGCTTTGGCTTAACATATTCCTCTGCATTCCCTCTCTCCAAATCTTTCTCTCTCAAACTTTTTGTATACTTAAGAGCATATATTAGCCCTATTTCTCTATTGTGCCATGAAGCCTTTCCTAAATCTAATTAAAGAAACTGAAAAGCTCTCTTTTGAATTCCATAGCACTTTATATCTCTCAATACCTAACACACTTTTCATTCACTGTTCTGTCTCCCAATCTATGCAGCTACCCAGGAAACTCCTTTAGAGTAGGAATTTTGCTGTAAAAGTCTACCAGAGGAAGCAGTCAATAAATGCTGAATAATGGTAATAAAGGTGGACCAAACACTGCTTTAGAAGATTCACCATTTTTCATTAATAGAATGACAGACATGAACAGTAGCTACAAATCATGATAAATGTTATTGACAAACTTTTCTCTATATTTATGTTACCTGAATCCATATTAATACAGAACTATAGAGTCCCTGACCTGGTGCACCATCCCCTTCAACAGTCCCAAACACCTATATTCAGTTAAAGCAGCACTGCAGGCTATAAAACACTCTGCTGAGCACGCCCTGGCCTCTACTTGTGGCTTAGGATTTCAAAGCAGAATAAACCAGGCAAAGAAAGATAAAAGAGTCAAACCAGTTATAGGCAGAGACATGTTTATAGGTCAGAACTTATTTCTTTAAAACAAACTTCTAAAGTAAATACAACAATGATTACCATCACCTAGTTTCAGCGTCATTTTAATTTCTCTCCTACTCTATTTTCAATCTACCTAATAAAAGAATTTCATCATAAAGAGTTTCAAAATTTAAATCAACAGGAACACACAACATGAAATTCTCCCTAGGATGCTGAATCCATTATGGACAAAGATTCTGTAATATTAATCTTTATATCCCTGAGCATAGTACTCAGTACAGAACAGTTGTTCCTTAAATTCTTCCTGAAAATATCCAACTTTTAATATGATATCAATTACTGAAACTAAATAGAAAAACTACATATTCTTACATAGGAAAAGCAGCCTTCCAATTTTTTTTTAAAAAGCCAATTACTCATTATTTTCTTTAAGAAAGCATACACTTGGAAATACACACACAGTTTATTACTCTGATATTAATATCAAAAAGCAATGAAATATATTTACCCATTATATAATTCAGACACACCCGCAAATGGCTCATTTTCACAGTTGGCATAAGCAAACACAAAAGTCAGTACAAGTGAAATTACAGATGTGAGCAAAGCAAACTTCATTATGTTTTTACACGTCATTTTGAATTTCGAAACAAGAATACCACCTAAAATCTGACCAAGAGCAGCTCCAGGAATTAAAACAGTCCCTAATGAGAAAAAAGATACAGACAGTGAGAAAACATACAAGCATACTCAGTAATATATACCAAAAGTTACACCATTTTAAAACTATAATTTTATATGTGTGTGTGTTAGTCACTCAGTTGATTTTTATATAATTTTAATAAAATGTATACCGTTCTAACCCAGTAGAAAATGGCACCTTCTACTTCCCTCACACCAAAACTTGGAAAACATCAGCAACAAGCACTACTCTGGTTCTAACGTGTGAAGCATTCATGTGACTTAGAAATAATATGCATAAATGAGTTAATAGTTAATGCTGTGAATATTAGGATTAACATGTATTCTCTTTAGCTCTGTATATAGCCTCTGTAGCCCTCAAATTCATACAACAAATTGTCTCATATCAGAAAATCAGAAACATATCAAAATCAGTATAAACTTCAACAAGTGGCTATCCAAAATTTTGCACTTCCCTAGTGGCTCAGTGGTAAAGAATCTGCCTGCAATGCAGGAGACCAGGGTTCAACCCTTGGGCTGGGAAGATTCTCTGGAGAAGACATGGCAACCCACTCCAGTCTTCTTGCCTGGAGAAGTCCACGGACAGAGGAGTCTGGAGGCCTACAGTCCACGGGGTCGCAGAGTCAGACGCGACTGAGCAGCTAAGCAGGAGCAGCATCCAAACTTTTACACACATAAAATCCAATAAACATCCAATGTGGTGAAATAAAGTTACTAGTCAAAGTTACAACGAAAGAAAAGGTTTTACCTGCAAGAGTAGCTGCAGTGCTAGAAGACAATCCAAACTGATTTTCTATAAATTTAGGTAAAAAGGTAGCAAATCCAGTGGTAATAAAGGCTTCCGAACAAGTTGATAGAACTAAACACATAAAGACAGTATTCCTCATCAAATTCTAAAGAAAAAATACAGTTCACCAAATGAATAACTATGATTATACTGTAAAATGTAGCACTAGAACGGTAAGTTCCCTGATGAAATAGCACATTTTAAATAAATACAACACAATTATTTCTAAAATTTCAGCATTTCCTTTAGCACAAAAATACACATATTGATTACTGATAGCCTTCTACATACAATAATGAGAAAGTTTATACATAGAGCATCTAGAAAATTGACAGATAATTAATCAGTAGGGTGAACGTGCCCTGATCACAAGCAAGGGGCCAGGGAAAGGAGGTGAAAGCTGGTTTGGAAGGTTCCCTTCGCCAGTCTTACTATACATATCCACATAATAAATCTACCTCTTACTCAATTTTTTTATTGTGTTCTGAATTCCTATATCCAATAAATGAAGAATCTACTGTGAGCAGAGATGAGAGTGGTTCCTAAGGATCATACTTGTAGTTTTGCTCCACAAGTGAAGGAATCAGTAGCTAAGAACCTTAGTTGGGTATAGAGTTAAGCAATTTTAAAGAAGGATCTATATTGCTGGTGCTCTCAGAATCTATTAATCTACCAGAGGAGAGTAGAGAGATTCACTTATTTTACCATATGTAACCATAAAGTAAAAAACTACAAAGTATAGCTCTGGAATATTCAATGAAAAAAAATTTCTGAACTGAACAACACACACGCACAGAGGAGGCACAAAAAGGCAAGAAAAAAGATTCAGAGTCAGAGCCAGATGATGCAACAGAATAATAATAATGACAAAAGGAAAAAAGCACCTAAATGAAGAAATGCAGCAGTTTTTTAGAAAAATGACTAGAAAATATTTAAGCTTTCAGACTGAAAAAGATAATGGACTCTGAGTAAGCATTAATGAAAAATGATAGACTCATAGGACCTAGTAAAGTTCCTGAAATCAAAGAGAAATTCACAAATTGGTAGATGGAAAGGATAACTAAGAATCACATTAACTTGAAACTTCTCAACTTCAACATATTTAACTTGGAAAGAGTCAAACACTATCTACAGACAATGAGAATTAAAGAAGTATGATCTGAAAGTATTCATCCAGTTATAAATATCATCCTGACATTCAAGGATACTTAGATGGCATCCTATCTGAGAAGACAGTGACAAAATGCTGTATCTATAGAGATTTGAATCACAACTGAGATCTTGAAGCATGACAACAAAGGATTAAAAAAAGCATTGGTGAGTAATGAGTCTTGATGGTAATACATGTGAGAATTTACAAAATAAATTTAAATAGAAACATTAAATAAAACAAAACTACTATAAAAGAGAATAACAGTAGTTGCAATTTAAAATTATAAACAACTGCAGCAAAACACAAGAATGTGCCTATATGGGAGAGGAGGAAAGAGAGTTAAAAGGTAGGATGAATGAAGCAAAAACATTTTAAGGCTTTCATTTGAGGAGCAAAAAAAATAATGAAAAGTAAATAAGTTCAAATCTTGAAAAGGTAAAATTATAAACTCCCTTTTGTATAAAACTTTAATGATGCTAAACAGAATACTCTGCCAAGTTCAATAAAATAGACCATAACACTATTGTTTCTTTAACCTCAAATTCAAAAGAAGTAACCTGTAACTGCCACTTTTTCCACAAAGGAAAAATACTGGTTTGGCATTATCAAAAATTTTTACAATTCATTGGTAATTGATCCACCCATTACATAAGAGAAATAGCATGGGATAATGGACTACATGCTAAGGAGTAACTACTGAATATTGATATTGCCAATAAGATAACTCATGTTCTTCCAACCATTCTACTCAGGAATACTTTTCATTTACTCAAAGCACAATACAATTAAATCTGGAGAAGTCTGTATAAGAGCCAGAACCACAGTAAATAAGCAAGCAAGAATGCTTTGTGATAATATTTGTGTGTATGGATATACTGTTTATTAACATGTATTTGTTTTACATATATATCAATAACCTCAGATATGCAGATGACACCACCCTTATGGCAGAAAGTGAAGAAGAACTAAAGAGTCTCTTGATGAAAGTGAAAGAGGAGAGTGAAAAAGTTGGCTTAAAGCTCAACATTCAGAAAACTAAGATCATGGTATCCAGTCCCATCACTTCATGGCAAATAGATGGGAAAACAGTGGAAACAGTGGCAGACTTTATTTTTGGGGGCTCCAAAATCACTGCAGATGGTGATTGCAGCCATGAAATTAAAAGACGCTTACTCCTTGGAAGGAAAGTTATGACCAACCTAGATAGCATATTAAAAAGCAGAGACATTACTTTGCCAACAAAGGTCCGTCTAATCAAGGCTATGGTTTTTCCGGTGGTCAGGTATGGATGTGAGATTTGGACTATAAAGAAAGCTGAGCACCAAAGAATTGATGCTTTTGAACTGTGGTGTTGGAGGAGACTCTTGAGAGTCCCTTGGACTGCAAGGCGATCCAACCAGTCCATCCTAAAGGAGATCAGTCCTGGGTGTTCATTGGAGGGACTGATGTTGAAACTGAAACTACAGTACTTTGGCCACCTCATGCGAAGAACGGACTCATTTGCAAAGACCCTGATGTTGGGAAAGATTGAGGGCAGGCGGAGAAGGGGACAACAGAGGATGAGACCGTTGGATGGCATCACCGACTCGATGGACATGGGTTTGGGTGGACTCCGGGAGTTGGTGATGGAGAGGGAGGCCTGGCGTGCTGCGGTTCATTGGGTTGCAAAGAGTCGGACACGACTGAGCGACTGAACTGATACTGATATTGATATATATATACATATGTATTTGTGTGTGGAGTACGTGTGTGTGTATAAGTGTGTGTGTGTGTACACTGTACCTTTAGAGCAGCTGGAAAATCTTTAAAACTTTGTCCAAAATTACTATCTGTATGTTGTAAGGAAGCACTCTGATGAGTTTGGGAAATTTTTCCTTCTTGAATTTTTGCTGTACCTAAAAAAGTAGTAAATATACTCAATCTTCTTGCTTTCAAATGATTCTGTCTCATCCTTTACACATTAAACAAAGTGAGTTAAAAGCTTTTTTCTTTTACTCTAATTCTAACATACTTTTTAGATGAAATAATATTTACTAACTATTATCATGTCCTTTAATTTTTAATAACAGTACTGGGAATAAAGTTGAGAAAAGTCACTATGTGGAATCAGAAGCTGAATGGCCCAGGGTAGAAAAAAATCAATGAGTCCATCTACTGCTACTCTTCCTACTTTTCTTTTGCCCATTTCCAAAAGTTAATCATATATTCTTAGAATAGATGAAACAATGAAATGTCTTCAGCCAAGAGAAAAATACTTCTATAGATATTTATATGAACCACACAATTATAAAGAAGCAAAATCTCACAGAGAAAGGAATGGATATTTTTTCCATTAATCTTTTCTTTTTGTACAAAATTTTAGTATTGAAATTTGGTGGAAAATAAGTATACTACAGCATGACTTTGGTGACAACTGAAAAAACAAAGACTTGTATTATCATGAACCAATAACTAACATCAATAATTTAACACAGATTAGGTCCTGAAGTTACTAACTGAAAACAAACTAATAGTTTAAAAGATATTATATCTTGCATAAACATAAAACAATATTCTGATAACACGTAAGTTACAAAGTTAGCAAGTATTTAATAAAAAGGTGAATATGTACAGTTTTATTACATATTAATGAAAAACCAACAAAAGCCATGAAATTAAGATTGTTACCCAATACCTCCTAAAATACAGGCATATTCAAAAGCTTGCATAAGCAAACAACTAAGATTCTATGTTAAAAAACAGTGAATTTTCCAGGGTTCTTGCTAATTTCCAGGGTTCTTATTAATCATTTAGGAAGCACCACTTGGCCTAGAATTGGAATACAACTCTCTGGTTTTAAAGAAGACATTTTTACCTGGTAAATGTTTTGGAAAGCAAGAAAAAGGTATTATCAAAGACCAAGCAAGCAGCCAAGATATAAGAAATCCAATCCACCATGCCCCCAGCCACCGAGGGTCATCCTCAGTAATATCAATGCTGTGTGACAGAAAAACAAGAGGCAGAAGTCAACTCTCTCTTGTTAATTAGAACTCAGGCCCAATAACTACATAATTTATAATTCAAATGCATATACAGAAAAACTATATTATTCAAAATTTCAAATGGAGCCATTTTGAAGAATCCCAATGGATAGCAGATATAAACGGTGTCAGAATAATGACCTACAAGTATTTCATATGACAAATACAACATAAAAGTTTTAGCTATTTAATAAGAAATATGTTAACTATTTGAAGGCATACATAGAATTTCTTCTAAGAACATTCTTCAATTTTGGCTAACTTTTTCTTCTTTAAATATTATAATATGTTACATATATATAGAATACTAACTACATCTCACAGCAAATCACCAATTTTTGTTAAAAGCCAATACACTGTACTTCAATTGTGGCATTCATCTGAATGTAAAAATTCTGCTTAAAGTGATATACAGTAACAGTTTCTTAAAATGGTTGTCACATTTTTACACCAACAGCCTTTCCCCTAAAACACACTATTCCGATAACTCATTTCACCCCACCAAAATGAAAGCCCAGCTCTCTGCTCCAGGACTTCCTCTCCAAACCTTTCAGATAGTCTCTAAAAGGTCAACCTAGGACTGCATACATCAGTATCGTTGCACAGTACAACCTCTGAACTGTTTTTATTAACCTATCGTCTCTAAAAGATTAACCTTGTTTCTAAAAAGATTAACCTAGGACTAATAGCTAAAGAACAGATCACATGCTGTGACTATATTTTCTTATTCATTGTTCGCAGCCTTGCAAAGGACTGTGTAGTTACAGTAAAATGAGATAACATGCCCTCATCAAAGGTTACTAACTTCTCTATTCAAGAAAAGGAGAAGGTAACTCAGTGGGTAAGAAGAGGGTTTCAGAGTCAAAAGGAACTACTTCATTTCATGCCTTGGCCACTTACCCAGTTCTGTATATCAACTACCTTAAAAGATAAGTAAGAGGATTAAATAAAATGGCACATAAAGTAATATATATATATATATTTTATATACACAAAACCTATATTATACATATCTTAAATACACAAAACCTATATTGTCTGAAACATTGTATGGGATAAATAAACATTACCTATTATTATCCTCCAGTGTCAAAATTGTTAAAGCTGAACAACTGTTGTCTCTATGGTATTATGAGAGCTACTACAGCACTTTGTTTGAGAATCATAAACTGTTAAGACTCTTTCAGGCTATCTACCCACAGCAATATCTACTGAAAGTACAACTAATTTTAATTAAATTATTATCTTTGAACAATGCATAGCATCTTGGTTGTATATTTTGAAAAATAAGAACAGCTAATTATTAATCATCCTTATTTATGAATAAATGCACAATACTAAGAGATGATGTGGCATTAATTCATGAAGCAATGCAGCCAAACTACTACATAAAAATTGTGTGTATTCAGTTTTTTCCCAGAAAAATCCCTCATGATATTCTGAAGAAATACTATAAAAATGCTCTGGCTGTGGTACTAACATGATTAAAATAATATAAATCTAAATAAAAACAGATATCGCCTTACCTGTGTTTCAAATCAACATCAATGTACAGGGTTAGCAATTGTCCTCCCAGCACATAGCCAACAGCAGGGCCTAAAATTGACATGGCATAGCCAATTCCTAGCAAAAAGCAAAGACACTGAACATGATCATCTGTGCAATTTTGCTTTGAATGTCTGACAAGTTAAGAAAAATATTTTACTACAGAAAAACAAAATGATTCAAATTATATCAAAATTACATATTTTTCAACTAAAAAATGCCATCTGAGTGGTATCACTGTCAAGGGGCTTCAAATACATAAATCTATATAAAATTTTTTAGACTACAATGATGACTGCAACTAATCCAATAATTATAAATATATGGAAAGCTGTATCATGTGAACTCACAGCAGGGCTAGTCTTCACCTACCATTAGCCTTTGTGAACAGTGACAGTAATTACTGTCTACGCTGCTCATGGAAGAAAGCAATGTGAAATGAGAAGCGTTTTATCTCCAGTGCATATGTGCATGCTAAGCTGCTCCAGTCGTGTCTGACTCTCTGCGGCCCTATGGACCGTAGCCTGCTGTACACGTTCCAAAAGCATTCTTTATTTTGGACTATGGCAGCTGATCTAAACCTGGATCCGGTCATCAGTCTGCTTCTTAAAAGTAAACCATTAAACTCTTGCTCTTAGTGAATCTCCCATTTTAACTGGCAGCAGAATTAAACTGACCTTATTTTTCTGATAATTAAAATTTTGCCATACACAACTTTTTATTTTTTATTAAAACATTATTCATACAAAAGATTATATCCTCATGGGGCACCACCTTCTGAAATGATTATTAACCACTGAAATTCTCATCCCCATACATGGAAGGAAAGGAATACACCAAACACAAAGTGGGGCATACATCAGTAGCAAAAATGATTGATGTACTTAGATTAAGGCTCCAAAGTAGAGGTCATGTAAGATGATCTGAAAACATATATGACTTTTATTTATCTATCCTACCCTAATTTATGGGCTTACCTGGTGGCTCAGTGGTAAAGAATCCACCTGCCAATGCAGGAGATGTGGGTTCAGTCCCTGGGTAGGAAAGATCCCCTGGAGGAGGAAATGGTAACCCACTCCAGTATTCTTGCCCAGGAAATCCCAGGGACGGAGGAGCCTGGTGGGCTACAGTCCATGGGGTCACCAAAAGGGCCCGGCACGACTTAGCGACTAATATATAATTATAATTTTAAATGTAAAAAATGTGTTCGTAGAAAATTTTAAGTGTATGTAAGATTCATGCTCACAAAACTTTTATGGATAGAAATACATGATTTAAAATGCTGGAAATCAATGATCCCCAAATTATCTTTAGTGATAGATCTTTTTTATAAATTATATCCAACTGGGTTTAGAATGATACATTTATAAGAATGGTAAATGGACTAGGTAGACTAATGTTTCCAACCAAATTGTCCACTAAGAAAAACTTTTAAAAACTGTAAAAAATTATTTTTAAATATATGCTTGAAGGCAAAGAGATAAAAATAGTGAAGGATCACTGTGTTACAGTTCTGAAGAAGAGAGACGTTTAACAAAAATTGAGACTGACTTTTTTAATTTTTCCTGAGTACACTGGCTGATTCGACAAGAGGCACTGGGAGGGGAAACTGTCCCTTGCTGGGCTTTAGGAAGCAGGGATACAAATGATGCAGCTCAGAGGATATCTTGCAAACTTTCCCTGCCCTACATTTTAAGTTGGCCCCGAGGAGGTTATACTCCAAAAGCAAGGATGAGTTAGAGGTAGCCTGGTTCACAACATAGGTGCAGCTTACCTTCAAATAAACTCAATCCCTGAAATTAGATAAAGGGCATCCCATTGCAGTATTCCTACGTATGAGAGAGACTGGCAAGTTATTAAAAGACACATGGCGTGATTCTCAAAAAAATTCTAGAACTATAGAATACATCTGTCAAAACAAACATGAAATGGATCCACAGTAGATTACTTAGAACTAAACTGGGTATTATGAAACTGGAACATATATTATTAAATCAGTAAATATTTATCAAGAAGCAAGAAAAAATAAAGATAGAAAAACACAGAAAAGACATTAAAGGACAAAGAATACATTAAAAAAAAAAAAGGCCTAGCATACACATAAGTGGAATAGGAGACGAGATAATAAAGCCGAAGTTAATATATTGGAACAGCCTGCTTGTGCTGAATTCTCTCATTTTTTCCATCTAAAAATGATATTTTCTTTTTACTCTTTTCCCTGAGGAGTATTCTAACTGGAAACAGATTAGCTGCTCATTAATGTTCTTTCAGTACTTTAAAAGCACTATTGTACTGTGTTCACTTCTACTCCTTTCCTATGATTATTAATATAATTTCTAACTTATTGACTTAAGATTGTTCTTCAAGTTAAAGGAAAATGATTTTTAAACAAGGCACTGCTGATGCTGCTGTTGCCGAGTCGCTTCAGTTCGTGTCTGGCCCTCTGGACCATGACCCGCCAGGTTCCTCTGTCCACGGGATGCTCCAGGCAAGAATACTGCGGTGGGCTGCCATGTCCTCCTCAAGCCGGTCTCCCCAACACAGGGATCGAACCCACATCTCTTACGTCTCCTGCACTGGCAGGCAGGTTCTTTACCACCGCTGCCACCAAGGAATCCCAAATAAATCATTAATAATACTTATTTCAGGAACTTAAATATAGAAGGGATCACAGGACACAGAAATAATTGCCTAAATGTTGGGACAGGAATAAAATTCAAAGGTTTTAAGATTATGTGATGATCAGGAATGTGATAAAAGTATCAGTTAACATTGGAATTTCATAAAATCAAAATCCACCTGCCAATGCAGGAGATGTGGGTTCAGTCCCTGGGTAGGAAAGATCCCCTGGAGGAGGAAATGGTAACCCACTCCAGTATTCTTGCCCAGGAAATCCCAGGGACGGAGGAGCCTGGTGGGCTACAGTCCATGGGGTCACCAAAAGGGCCCGGCACGACTTAGCGACTAATATATAATTATAATTTTAAATGTAAAAAATGTGTTCGTAGAAAATTTTAAGTGTATGTAAGATTCATGCTCACAAAACTTTTATGGATAGAAATACATGATTTAAAATGCTGGAAATCAATGATCCCCAAATTATCTTTAGTGATAGATCTTTTTTATAAATTATATCCAACTGGGTTTAGAATGATACATTTATAAGAATGGTAAATGGACTAGGTAGACTAATGTTTCCAACCAAATTGTCCACTAAGAAAAACTTTTAAAAACTGTAAAAAATTATTTTTAAATATATGCTTGAAGGTAAAGAGATAAAAATAGTGAAGGATCACTGTGTTACAGTTCTGAAGAAGAGAGACGTTTAACAAAAATTGAGACTGACTTTTTTAATTTTTCCTGAGTACACTGGCTGATTCGACAAGAGGCACTGGGAGGGGAAACTGTCCCTTGCTGGGCTTTAGGAAGCAGGGATACAAATGATGCAGCTCAGAGGATATCTTGCAAACTTTCCCTGCCCTACATTTTAAGTTGGCCCCGAGGAGGTTATACTCCAAAAGCAAGGATGAGTTAGAGGTAGCCTGGTTCACAACATAGGTGCAGCTTACCTTCAAATAAACTCAATCCCTGAAATTAGATAAAGGGCATCCCATTGCAGTATTCCTACGTATGAGAGAGACTGGCAAGTTATTAAAAGACACATGGCGTGATTCTCAAAAAAATTCTAGAACTATAGAATACATCTGTCAAAACAAACATGAAATGGATCCACAGTAGATTACTTAGAACTAAACTGGGTATTATGAAACTGGAACATATATTATTAAATCAGTAAATATTTATCAAGAAGCAAGAAAAAATAAAGATAGAAAAACACAGAAAAGACATTAAAGGACAAAGAATACATTAAAAAAAAAAAAGGCCTAGCATACACATAAGTGGAATAGGAGACGAGATAATAAAGCCGAAGTTAATATATTGGAACAGCCTGCTTGTGCTGAATTCTCTCATTTTTTCCATCTAAAAATGATATTTTCTTTTTACTCTTTTCCCTGAGGAGTATTCTAACTGGAAACAGATTAGCTGCCCATTAATGTTCTTTCAGTACTTTAAAAGCACTATTGTACTGTGTTCACTTCTACTCCTTTCCTATGATTATTAATATAATTTCTAACTTATTGACTTAAGATTGTTCTTCAAGTTAAAGGAAAATGATTTTTAAACAAGGCACTGCTGATGCTGCTGTTGCCGAGTCGCTTCAGTTCGTGTCTGGCCCTCTGGACCATGACCCGCCAGGTTCCTCTGTCCACGGGATGCTCCAGGCAAGAATACTGCGGTGGGCTGCCATGTCCTCCTCAAGCCGGTCTCCCCAACACAGGGATCGAACCCACATCTCTTACGTCTCCTGCACTGGCAGGCAGGTTCTTTACCACCGCTGCCACCAAGGAATCCCAAATAAATCATTAATAATACTTATTTCAGGAACTTAAATATAGAAGGGATCACAGGACACAGAAATAATTGCCTAAATGTTGGGACAGGAATAAAATTCAAAGGTTTTAAGATTATGTGATGATCAGGAATGTGATAAAAGTATCAGTTAACATTGGAATTTCATAAAATCAAGTTTTCATGTAAGGTAATTAGTAGATGAATAGTAAAAGAGCATATACCTAGGAAGTTAATAGAGGAGAGAAATGAAATAATAAATATTAAATTATCAAAAAGAAAGGAAAAAAGGGCAATAAATAAGAATGTAGAGCAAACACGAAGTACATATTAAGATGAAAGATTTTAACACAAAATAAGATTAAATGAACTTAAAAGTTTAATTAAAGGACAAAAATTGTAAACCCCAAAAAGCATTTAAAGACAAAGACATGATGAGTGAGTGGCATGGAGATGGCTATGAGGTGAGACGTGCTGTGTCACTACAATTTTCCCATCATCCTAATAGGCACCAATCTGACTGTGTTCATTTTGCCCACTTTTGCCTTGCTGCATAAAACTGTTTCACATAGAGAAAGGCATCGTACCAGTAACAGATAATATTGTAAAACAAAGAAAGAATGGGGGAAGATTTTGGAAATGGGAAAATGTATAGATGTAAAAAGCTTAAGGAAGGATTTCACTCAACAAAACCTAATTATCCAATGAAAAGAATCAGTTATCCGACACTGAAAAAAATTAAAATGAGTTTCCCAGTTTTATTACTTTGGTTTTTTTTCCCTTTACTCTCAAAAATTACCATTCAGTGAATTCCTATGGTACTGCAAAGAGTTAAAAGTAGCAGGCTCTGTGGCTGCAACCTTCAGAAAGACCATGCTTGTGAGGCTGACCCTGAGCTTGCATCTGGGATCTTAAATGTCCAGAGGGATGCCACCATTCCCTAATAAAGGTGGGTCATTGTGCTGAAACTGTTTGTATAAACAATGTGGTTTTTCCAAACACTTGTATTCCTTCTGAGAGTCTAGAACTTCCCTATGTGCAAGGCAGAGGGTTCCTATATGGTCGATTACCAGTAAAAACTAGGGCACTGAGTCTCTAATGAACTTAGCTGGTAAAAAACATTTCATATGAGCTGTTACAACTCCTGGCTGGAGGAATTAATTCTGACTGGTGTGGCTCCACTAGGAGCGAGTGGATGCTTAAAGCTTGCGCGTGGTTGTGTATGTACTTTACCTCAGGTACCTTTTCCCTGTGCTGATTCTCCTTTGTATCCTTCTGCTGGAATAAATTACAGCCCTGAAAACTTCAGTCCCAGGGAATATAAAATCTGGGATGGTCTCTTAGGCCTTCACCCCAGCCTCTCATTCTTAAACAATCTTTGAAAAACTTCGTATATTTTGTGTGTTACTAAAATACGGAAATTGTTTTATGAGAAGCGCTGATTAGAAGAGGACCTCAGGGAGAAAATCTGTGAGCTAGAAGACTGAAAAGCAGCACTAGTAGCTAACTGAAATAAAAGCATCGTTAAATTAGTGCGTGGAGTTGTACGGATCCTCCAGCATGTGTGAGAGAGCATCAGATCTCGTACAAAGACCAAAGCAAACCGAGCGGACAGGCAGGAGTGCAGAGGCTTCCATATCAGATATTCAGGGCTACACTGAGCACAGGGGGCTTCCAGCGACTACAGCAACAGGTCTCCTTATACACTGAAAGTTGATGTCGCCACAAAATTCATATGTTGAAATCCAATTCCCAACGCAGTTGCATTTGGAGGTGGGGCCTCTGGGAAGGGATTAGGTCATGAGAGTGAAGCCCTCAGAACAGGATTAGTGCCCTTAAAAGAAGGCCCCAGGGAGCTCACTTGTCCCCTCTGCCACAGCTAAAAGGCAGATGTCCACGAAACAAGAAATGGGCCCCCATCAGTTACTAAATCTCCTCTGGGCACCATGATCTTGTACTTGCCAACCTCCAGGACTGTGAGAAATAAATTTCTCTTGTTTGTAAGCCAACTAGTCTATAGTATTCTCTTTGAGCAGTCCAAGTGGACAAAGTCCCCTACATCTGAGTATACTGATAAAGTGAAACTGAAAAGTCAAAGTGTTAGTCGCTCAGTTGTGTCTGGCTCTTTGTGACCCCATGGACTATAGCCCGCCAGGCTCCTCTGTCCCTGGAATTCTCCAGGCAAGAATACTGGAGCACGTGGTCATTCTCTTCTCCAGGGGCTCTTCCTGACCCAGGAATTGAACTCCGGTCTCCTGCACTGCACCTGCACTCTTTACCACCCGAGCCACCAGGGAAGCCTCGATTAAGTGAAGACTCACATGCAAATATATGACACATTAATCTGGATGTAGACCATGCACGGTTTAGTTAGCTCTACCTTCCAGCAACTCCAGGGATGGGATTTAAGAGAAACTTGTGCTGTCAAGAATTAGACCACAAAGGGAAAATACTGAGTCATATGTAAAAAGCATTAATCTGAAATGAACAACTCCACAGAGTTTCTGAGTACCATTGTGTGGTTTCTTTTGTTGACTCTAGTCAATTCCATGTAGGATGAAGTAAGTCACACAGAACAGCAGAACTCTATCCCCACACCTGTGTAAATTAGCCTGGGAAACATTCCAGCAATCAAGATGACCTATTTCTTGGATAGCACTTCCAGGAAGGCTTGACATGCCCAGCATAGGAGATAAAGGAGGATGTCAATAAAAATCAACCACATTTAACTGAAGGACATGGTACTTCGGCAAATAGTTAAACAAAAAAAAAGCAATATTACATTTACCTAATGTAAATACTTATGAAATCACAACTAACTTCTTAAAAAGTGTATGCTGTGCATTACTTATAAACAAGCAATAACATGAAATGACACTGAGACATTCGTATTAGCAGCAAACTTACCTATATAGAGAGAAGATTTGTGGATGGGCACAGAGTCATCGATAAAGGCTGTTCCCAGGGTATACAGAGGAGTCCCTCCTGTCCCCAGCAACAGCTGTCCCAGAACGAAGACATACAAGTAGTAGAAAAGTGGGGAACCGGAAGTGCTACAACCATGCTTATTCTTTGTTGCTGAGCAAGTATCTTTAGGGAAAAAATAAAATAAGACTGTGAATTTATCAAAATGTTAGCTAACAGTTTAAATATCATAAATTCTACTTGCCTAACATAACCTTCCTTCTTCACTTTATTATACTTAAAAATACTGAGAATAATTAAGATATTTAAAAGACAATTATTAAAGAAAATACATGAACCACTGGATGCATGCTCAATCACTCAGTTGTGTCTGGCTCCTTCACATCCCCATGGACTAGCCTGCCAGGCTCCTCTGTCTGTGGGAGTTTTCAGGCAACAATACTAGAGTGGGTTGCCATCTCTTCCTCCAGTGGGTCTTCCCAACCCAGGGGTAGATCCTGGGTCTCCTGCGTCTCCTGCACTGGCAGGAGAATCCTTTACCACTGAGCCACCTACGATGCCCACATGAAACACTACAGCCTCAAAACGTGACAGCATCAGACTATGTGGTACATATATGTAACAACATATTCCTCAGCCACTAAAAGGAAGGACACAATGTCATCTGCAGCAACATGGATGGCCCTAGAGACTGTGGGACTGAGTGATGTCAGACCGAGAAGGAGAAGTATCCTATGACATCCCACCCATGTGGGACCTAAAAAGAAACAATACAAATGAACTTACTTACACAACAGAAAGGCAATCACAGACTTAGAAAATGAACTTATGGTTGCTGGAGGGAAGGATTGAGGGAAGGTATAGTTAGGGCATTTGCGATGGACATGTACAATATTGCTATATTTAAAATGGATAACCAGAAAGGGCCTATTACACAGGGAGCTCTGCTCAATGTTACACGGCAGCCTGGCTGGGACAGGAGTTTGGGGGAGAATGGTTACATGTGTATGCATGGCTGAATCCCTTCTCTGTTCACCTGAAACTATCACAGCATTGTTATCAGCTATACTCCAACACAAAATAAAAAGTTTTTTTTAATATATATACTTTTTTTACCACAATATTGATTTTATCAATCAACATATGGTCATATGGCATTTGTCTTTCTCTTTCTGAGTTACTTCACTTAATGTGATAATCTCTAGGTTCATCCATGTTACTACTACAACCATTATTTCTTTCTTTTAATGGTTCACTATTATTCCACTGTATGTGTGTGTATATATATATTCACACACACATACACACACACACCCTGCATCCTATCTTATTCACCTATTGATAGACATTTAAGTTGCTTCCCTGTCTTGGCTATTGTAAATAATGCAGGTATCAACACTGGGGGGCAAGTATCTTTTCAAGTCAGAGTCTTCTCTGAATAAATGCCCAGGAGTAGACTCTGGATCATTTTAGTTTTTTAAAGAACCTCCAAACCGTCTCCACAGTGGCTGCACCGATTTACATTCCTGCCAGCAGTGTAGGAAGGTTTCCTTTTCCCCACACTCTCTCCAGCACTTGATACCTGTAGTTTTTTTTTTTTTTTTAATGATGGCCATTTTGACCAGTATGAGGGCATACTTCATTGTAGTTTTGACTTGTATTTCTCTAATAATGAGTGATGTTGACCATATTTCATGTGCCTATTGAACATTTGTATGTTTTCTTTGCAGAAATGTCTATTTAGGTCTTCTGCCCATTTTTTCATTGGGTTGTTTTTTGTTATTGAGTTGTATGAGCTATTGGTATATTTTGGAAATCAAGCCCTTGTTGGTCACTTCATTTCCAACTATTTTCTCTCAGTCTGTAGGTTGTCTTTTCATCTTCTTTATGGTTTTCTTTGCTATATAAAATTTTATATGCTTGATTAGGCACCATTTGTTTATTTTCACCTTTATTTCGATTGACTTGGAGACTGACCTAAGGAAACATTGCTACACCTTATGTTAAAGAACATCTTGCCTATGTTGTCTTCTAGAAGTTTTATAGTGTCATGTCTTATATTTAAGTCCTCAAGCCATTAAGGTTATTTTTGTATCAGGTGTGAGGGAATGTTCTAATTTCACTGATTTACATGCAACTCTTCAGCTTCCCCAACATCCCCTACTGAAAAGATTGTCTTTTTTCCATAATATACTCTTGCCTCCTTTGTCAAAGATTAATTGACCCTACATGTGTATGTTTTATTTTCTGAGCTCTCCATTCTGTTCCATTAATCCACATCTGCTTTTCTGCCAATACCACACTGTTTTGACCACTATAGCTTTGCAATATTGTCTGAAATATGAGAAGGTTATACCCCCAGCTTTGTTCTTTTTCATCAGGATTGCTTTGGCAACTCTGGATCTTTTATGGCTCCATATAAATTTTAGAATTATTTGTTCTAGTTCTGTGAAAAATGTATTAGGGAATTCGATAGGTATGTGCATTAGATCTATAGATTGCTTTGGGTAGTATGGCCATTTTAACAATATTAATTCTTCCAATCCAAGACCATAGGATATCTTTCCATTTCTTTAAAGTGTCTTCTGTTTTCTTTATCAATGTTTTATAGTTCTCAAAATACAAGTCTTTTACCTCCTTGGTCAGGTTTATTTTACCTTCATAATGAAATTTTAAAAGGGACTGTCTTTTTACTTTTCCTTTCTGATATTTCATTGTTAGTGCAAAGAAATACAACAGATTTCTGTGTGGTTAAACTTGTATCCTGCTACCTTGCTGAATTCATTTATCAATTTTAATAGTTTTTGTGTGAACTCTTTTAGGGTTTTCTACATATCATATCATCTGCATAAAATGATAATTTTACCTCTTTCTTTCCAATTTGGATACCTGAAAATGATTATCTTTAAGTTTGATTAAATAAAACCTTTTATAAAAATATCACATTTAATGGCTGGGCATAATAAATCCATATTTTCTAACTTCATCATGGGCTTCCCCGGTGGTTCAAACAGTAAGGAACCCAGCTACAATGCAGGAGACCTGGGTTCAATTCCTGAGTCACAAAGATCCCCTGGAGGAGAGGGAATGGCTACCCATTCCAGTATTTTTGCCTGGGAAATCCCATGGACAGAGGAACCTGACAGGCTACAGTGCCTGGGGTCACAAAGAGTCAACCATGACTGAGTGACTAACACACACACAAACAAACTCATCATATTATATTAATGAACTAAGAGACTTGTTAAAAATATATTCCCAACCCTCTCACTTTAGTGTAGCATCCAGGAATTTGTATTTTAACAATGATGTCAGCTAATTCTATTTTCATTTTCTTGATATCAGGTCAAGACTTATTATTTCCACACTGATGAAATGTAGGGCCCCTAAAGCACCGATTCTGAATATTCCTTAACTGGCTGACAGGCATCAAAGTTTCAGATGCAAATTCAATGCATAAAAATAATTCTTAAAATTTTGTATCTAAAATATTCTCTATAATATTGTATATATTCATATTATAAGAGGTTGGCAGATATTTTGGCAGGTAATCTATACTTATAACTGGACTAAGTCTGCATTATTTATGATATTTCCCTGGCCATGTCAAACCTTTGAATTATAATTCCTGATTTCAACATTCATTGTCCTGGAGGTAGTAGATTAGACTATCAATCTCTTATTACTTGATATACTGCTAAATTGAACATATGTATATGCATGCAGGTCAGGAAGCAACAGTTACAACTGGACATGGAACAACAGACTGGTTCCAAATAGGAAAAAGAGTACGTCAAGGCTGTATATTGTCACCCTGCTTATTTAACTAATATGAAGAGTACATCATGAGAAATGCTGGGCTGGAAGAAGCACAAGTTGGAGTCAAGATTGCAAGGAGAAATATCAATAACCTCAGATATGCAGATGACACCACCCTTATGGCAGAAAGTGAAGAAGAACTAAAAAGCCTCTTGATGAAAGTGAAAGAGGAGAGTGAAAAAATTGGCATAAAGCTCAACATTCAGAAAACTAAGATCATGGCATCTGGTCCCATCACTTCATGGCAAATAGATGGGGAAACAGTGGAAACAATGTCAGACTTTATTTTTCGGGGCTCCAAAATCACTCAGATGGTGACTGCAGCCATGAAATTAAAAGACGCTTACTCCTTGGAAGGAAAGTTATGACCAACCTAGATAGCATATTAAAAAGCAGGGATGTTACTTTGCCAACAAAGGTCCATCTAGTCAAGGCTATGGTTTTTCCAGTGGTCATGTATAGATGTGAGAGTTGGACTGTGAAGAAAGCTGAGCGCCGAAGAATTTATGCTTTTGAACTGTGGTATTGAAGACTCTTGAGAGTCCCTTGGACTGCAAGGAGATCCAATCACTCCATCGTAAAGCAGATCAGTCCTGGGTGTTCATTGGAAGAACTGATGCTGAAACTAAAACTCCAATACCTTGGCCACCTCATGCAAAGAGTTGACTCATTGGAGAAGACCCTGATGCTGGGACGGATTGGGGGCAGAGGATGAGATGGCTGGGTGGCATCACCAACTCGATGGACATGTGTTTGAGTAAACTCCAAGAGTTGGTGATGGACAGGGAGGCCTGGCGTGCTGCGATTCATGGGTTCGCAAAGAGTCGGACACGACTGAGCGCCTGAACTGAACTGAACTGATGTGTATTACTGCTTTACTGTTTTCTCCTAGTTCCTTTTTTATAATAGATAAATTGCCTTTAGGAAAATATTTTGTTGTAATAATCTTGTAGACATTATGATTATATGAGTATTCTATGGGGTTTGGTGTTTTTTTGTTTTTCCTGGAGGAAGTAATTGATGAGCTTCAACTTGCTTGTTTAAATAAATTTTCAACATGCTTGAAGAACATCAAGAAAAATATCCAAGGTTTGGAGAGAAGATGGCTGAGGAATAAAAAGGCAAGATCAGCTTCCTCCCCACAAATACATCAAAAATTCATCTGCATATAGAATAACTCCCACAGAACAAGTTCTGAATGCTGGCAGAACCACCCAAACTCTCAAAAAGGCAAGCCAGTCTCCTTAGAACAAGGCAGGGCAAAAGATAAAGATAATAAAAGAAACAAAGGATTCCAGGACAGAGGCCTGAAGGAGGAAAAGTTTCCGCACAGTAAGAAACTCTCT